GCTAATTACAGATTGCAAATATATCTTGATTTGGTGTTGGGCTACAGGCCTATCAGCCTCTGGAGAGTTATTAAGGCCACGACAATAAAGTGATGTGATGTCCTGACCCGATACTAGTTTATTCTTGAATTTCAATTATTGATGGTCATTCATTTAAAATTAAAAGCTTATTTTAACTAGCCGTTTCTTTAACTCCTGTACAGAGAGTTTGGGGGGAACGCTTGTCCATTTTAATTGCTAATTCATCAATAATATGCTTGTTTATTCTAATTAACACCTTAAGACTAAGCTTAGGTATTTTCTAAGTATTTTCAATGTCTGGCTTCGTTTACGTAAATATACAAATTATCTGCTGCCAGTGCGAGGCTTCACATTACGCAGTTTATTTATGTTTACTTATATTTGAAAACACACTTTTCACAGTTTTATACGACTTTTTTCTGAATAAGTTTATGAATCATCTTGCATCTAATATGTTTTACAGTTCATCTATGTTGTCATTAGCAACTGGGCGTCAGTTACTTTCCCTCCAAGTACATACTTTCAATGCTTTTCAACAAGTCATGAAAGTGTTTTTTTTATATACTTTCTAATAGAGATGTGTTGCATGTCCATGCAGCATCATGCTATGCTGCGCCAGGCATGTCCGTATGCGTAATTGTTCAGTTGACATTTTCCTGAATTTTGTCCGTAAATTTGCATTCCGATCGACCATCAATTAGGCAGCGCCGACGTCTGCCCTCCTGTGCCACAGTGGTCAAGACTCGTCAAATATTTACCAATTACGAAACCTGTACATCTTTCCTTGCTCACAGCGGCTTCGTTTGCATTTATTAAACAGTTTACGAGCTTGGAAACTTCACAACCCAAGGTTATTATTGTATAAACAATCTCGTGGCGCCTCGGCGCTCATAAACTGTTTATTAAATGTAAATACAGCCGTCATGATTGAGGAAAGATATACAGGTTTCGTAAAGGGTTGTCTAAATCCTTGATGAATCCTTGCCCGACTCAAGCTCCTGGTTTTCGCCTTTTATCGTCCATACTACGCACACACCGAAAATAATTTCCTGTCCAGATCTGACTATTTTATATACCGTGATCATATCTCTTCTCTAGGAAAGTTAGGTTACTACACTTAAAGATATTTTCGTATGTGGGGATCTTAGCTGTGGGGCTCCCTAGAGACATCTCTGGATGAGGTGATGGAACAGTGAGTGGCAATGACACGAGGGTGGTGCGGTGCTCGCAATATGGCGGGGGTCAGGCTTGCCACACTCTGCATCCTGGCATGATGCACTCATGCTCTCTTTTTTCCCCTCTCACTATCCTTCTCCCTTACTATCCTCCCCCTCACTATCCTCCCCCTCACTATACTCCCCTCTCACTATCCTCCCCCCTCACTCCCTTCTCCCTTGCTCTCCTGTCTCCTTCACTATTCCTTTCCCCTCACTATCCTTCCCCCGTCCCAAATCTTCTCACTATATTCTTCCTCGCTATCCTCCCCCGTCATAATCATCCCTCTTTATCTTTCCTCTCTCTCCATCACTATCCATCCACATATCCATTCTCCTGCCTTTCCCCAGTTCTTGTACTATTGCACATTTCATTATGCCTATTAGGATTTTATAGGTGGTGATCATGTCACCTCTTTATCGCAAGTCTACACGTTTTGGCACATCTAATGTAGGTATTGGAGTCATTTAGTAGCACGTTTGTACTCAACTAGTTGTATTCACCTTGTTGTGCTTGCGGGGGGGGGGGGGGTTGAGCTCTGACTCCTTGGTCCCACCTCTTAACTGTCAATCAACTGGACAGTGACAAGCATCGGTGTGTGTACTTACCAAGTTGTGCTTGCGGGGGTTGAGCTCTGGCTCTTTGGTCTCGCCTCTCAACTGTCAATCAACTGGTGTACAGGTTCCTGAGCCTACTGGGCTCTATCTTATCTACACTTGAAACTGTGTATGGAGTCAGCCTCCACCACATCACTGCATAATGCATTCAATCTTTCAACTACTCTGACACTGAAAAAGTTTTTTTCTGACGTCTCTGTGGCTCATTTGGTTATATGTGTGTGTGTGTGTGTGTGTGTGTGTGTGTGTGTGTGTGTGTGTGTGTGTGTGTGTGTGTGTGTGTGTGTGTGTGTGTGTGTGTGTTTGGAGTCAGCCAGTTGGTTGGTAGGTACAAGCATCCTTGGCCGCGTCCGGCGTGCCTCTCATCCCATCAAAACCCTTGGGCCCCATCAACACTCAAACCTCTACCCCTCGCGTCAACGCTCCATATCCCCATTAACACCCATAGCAATTTACACCTTTATACACTCAGGCAAGAGTGCCATATTCTTCAACCGTCAGGGCAAGAGTGCCATAGTCTTCAACCGTCAGGGCAAGAGTGCCATAGTCTTCAACCGTCAGGGCAAGAGTGCCATAGTCTTCAACCGTCAGGGCAAGAGTGCCATAGTCTTCAACCGTCAGGGCAAGAGTGCCATAGTCTTCAACCGTCAGGGCAAGAGTGCCATAGTCTTCAACCGTCAGGACAAGAGTGTCATTAACCCATCCCACAGACATGAAATAATATTGACGACATTTCGGTCCATCCTGAACCCTCATTAAGTCGTAACAATAATATATACATAACAACATAAGAATGATAAGGAATTAAGCTGCAGAAAGCCTATTGGTTCATACGATTCAATTCACATTTTCACTTCCATATTCCGGAAATCATGATATTGTCTAGAAAAGTTTGATTAAACCCCCCAAAAATAAACCCATTGGATGTAGTCAGCTGGAGAAATGGACCATACGACATATCTGTGGCACTGGCTGGCCTTTTGGGGGCCACTGAGGTCGGAAACGTTCCAAGTGTTCATATCTCATTCAGACCTGGCTATGTAATTAGGTTCAATTGGATACAAATGTGTAAGTTTCGCAGGAATTTTTTTATGGTAAAATGAAGATGGTTGATAGTCGGGTTAAGCACTCTTGGGTGTAGCTAGTAATGTGATGGGTGACCACGTAGATGTAACCTAGCTTTAGGTAGGGGAAACCTCGACAATTAAGGGCTTCCTGTCTCCCTCCAGGTGTGTGCCTAGCCTCGTGCTTCCCAGCTCCTGAGCTAGCTAGGTGACCCCTCCTCCTCCTCCCCTCCTCTACCTCTCTTATCACCTCCCCAATAGTAGTCCCTTACTCATCTACCTCTCCTGAGTACTCTCACTCTACCTCCCCCCGAGTACTCTCACTCTACCTCCCCCCGAGTACTCTCACTCTACCTCCCCCCGAGTACCCTCACTCTACCTCCCCCCGAGTACCCACACTCTACCTCCTCCCCCCCGAGTACCCTCACTCTACCTCATATCCAAACAGTTCCTCTCGTCTACCTCTCCCAAGTAGTCCCTACTCATCTACCTCCACCGAGTAGTTGCACATGCACTCATCTACCTTCTCCCTCCAAGTAGCCCCCCCCCAACTCTTCTATCCTCTCAGTGCTTCTCCTTCTCTTTCTCCCTCTTCATCACACATCATCATACCCCCCCTCATCACTTCCCAAGTAACACCCCCCCTCCCCCCGGACCCTCACATCCCCCCCCCACCCCCCAGAGAGCCGCTAGGATAATCCCGAGGACATCCGGTCACTTCTCATTCACAAAGAAGAACTAAAAGTTTGAATAAATTAAGAGATCTGAGAGTGCATGTTGTATGCTAATGAGAGAGGCAGAGTCACGGACTGTTTGTTGTTGGTGATTGTGAAGAACTCGAGTATTGTGGCCTTTGTTTATGAGGGCTGGCAGCCGTCATCACAATGATGTTCGGAATTTTCTTGCATATTGCCTCGCGGCGTTCAATCCCTGACCGTCTAAGTGATTGGGCACCATTCCTTTCCCTCCGTCCAATCCCAAATCCTTAGCCCGACCCCTTTCCAAGTGCTATATAGTTGTAATGGCTTGGCGCTTTCCCCCCTGATAATTCCTTCTCTCTTCCTATGTACAAACTAGCTTCGCTCTTAACAACAAAGTGATGAGAGAGTCACATTAACACCGTCCATTTCGTATCCAGATATATTGCTTTTAATCGCCATTATGTAGGTTAGCTTAGCATTTTAAAAGCACCGACTCACCTTCTGTGGTTGATTGTTCAATAAACCCCTAAACTATATGTTTAACACATCTCTAACCCTGTCCATGGAGGACAGAAGAAAATGTATATATGCTGGTTAGCATTGTAAATGTGTGGCCATATCTGTGGTAGAAAATAATAATAATAAAAAAAATCGCCATTATGGAATTTAAAAAAAAACATATGGTTTCGAAGCCTCTTTATACGTTTTCTTCCGACAGAAGAATTTATATAAACAAAAAAGAAACAAAATGAATAAAAGTAGAACATTTACTTAAATAAAAGCTAACCATTTTCAAAACTAAAAATAAGTTTACATAAATCAAAGAATTTAATATTTACGCATAAAAAGAAGGATTTACATATACATACTTGCTGATTGGTAATAACTATTTTGGTGACTTTAACCTTCTCCTCCAGGTTAATAGACCTTAAGTCCAATTCACATGAGCTTACTTAAGACTTGAACAATACTTAGGACATAAGTATAATTGCTAATTGTTCAGAAAGCATTTGTGGTGGCCTTAATAACCACCACCCTCCAGAGGTTGACAGGCCTTACGTCCAACCCTCCAGAGGTTGATAAGCCTTACGTCCAACCCTCCAGAGGTTGACAGACCTTACGTCCAAGACCACCACCCTCCAGAGGTTGATAGGCCTTACGTCCAACCCTCCAGAGGTTGACAGACCTTACGTCCAACCCTCCAGAGGTTGACAGGCCTTACGCCCAACCCTCCAGAGGTTGACAGGCCTTACGTCCAACCCTCCAGCGGTTAACAGACCTCACGTCCAACACCACCACCCTCCAGAGGTTGACAGACCTCACCCCCAACACCAAACTGTAACATTCTACTGTGACTAACGTCTGTGTTTTGCCTCCTCCAGCGGGATGTACGGTGGACGAGGAGCCATGTACACCCCCATGCAGGACGTCTCCGTCGCCCCCACCAACATGTGGCCCCAGCAAGGTATGGACCCGGGGGGGGGGAGTATTTTGGTAGGGTGTAGAGCAGGACTAAGTGGTGAGTGTGGGGGAGTGTAGGGTGAGTATGGGTGTAGGTGTGAGTATAGGTGGTGTGAGCATGTAGGTGAGTATAGGTGGTGTGAGTATAGGTGTAGGTGTGAGTATGTAGGTGAGTATAGGTGTGGGTGTATGTGAGTGAGTATAGGTGTAGGTGTGAGTATGTGAATACAGGTGTAGGTGTGAGTAAGTAGGTGAGTATAGGTGGTGTGAGTATAGGTGTAGGTGTGAGTATGTAGGTGAGTATAGGTGTGGGTGTATGTGAGTGAGTATAGGTGTAGGTGTGAGTATAGGTGGTGTGAGCATGTAGGTGAGTATAGGTGGTGTGAGTATAGGTGTAGGTGTGAGTATGTAGGTGAGTATAGGTGTGGGTGTATGTGAGTGAGTATAGGTGTAGGTGTGAGTATAGGTGGTGTGAGCATGTAGGTGAGTATAGGTGGTGTGAGTATAGGTGTAGGTGTGAGTATGTAGGTGAGTATAGGTGTGGGTGTATGTGAGTGAGTATAGGTGTAGGTGTGAGTATGTGAATACAGGTGTAGGTGTGAGTAAGTAGGTGAGTATAGGTGGTGTGAGTATAGGTGTAGGTGTGAGTATGTAGGTGAGTATAGGTGTGGGTGTATGTGAGTGAGTATAGGTGTAGGTGTGAGTATAGGTGGTGTGAGCATGTAGGTGAGTATAGGTGGTGTGAGTATAGGTGTAGGTGTGAGTATGTAGGTGAGTATAGGTGTGGGTGTATGTGAGTGAGTATAGGTGTAGGTGTGAGTATGTGAATACAGGTGTAGGTGTGAGTATGTAGGTGAGTACAGGTGTAGGTGTGAGCATGTAGGTGAGTACAGGTGTAGGTGTGAGCATGTAGGCGAGTATAGGTGGTGTGAGTATGTACGTGAGTATAGGTGGTGTGAGTATAGGTGGAGGTGTGAGTATGTAGGTGAGTACAGGTGGAGGTGTGAGCATGTAGGTGAGTACAGGTGTAGGTGTGAGCATGTAGGTGAGTATAGGTGGTGTGAGTATGTACGTGAGTATAGGTGTAGGTGAGTACAGGTGTAGGTGGGTGCAAGTAATATAGTATAGTATAGGAGTAGGAGGATAGGGGTGAGTATAGGTGTAGGTAGTGAAGTGTAGAAGTGGGTGAGTATGGTGAGTATGTGTGAGGATAGTAGGGTGTAGGCGTGGGACACCAGGGGTGAGTATAATTGTAGGGTGTAGACGTGGGAGAGCTGGTGACAATTTGAGGGTGGGAGCTGAGAAATGTATAGAACAATAGGTCTACAGTATTGATAAAAGATCGCCATGCAATATCCATAGCTACCTTGAGTAGTATGGATATATATATATATATATATATATATATATATATATATATATATATATATATATATATATATTTCTTGTGGCGTCCGTCTTCTCTGCCCTTCTAATACACGTTTCCCCCACCTTCGTCTGCACAGTGGACTACGGGATGCAGGACCTGGGTGGCATGAAGACCTCGCCGTCAACCCCACCGCTAAACTTCCCAGGGAGGGTGTATGGGGGTCAGCAGGTCTCCCAGAGGCAAGCTTGCACTATGCCCACCAACGCTGCTATCCCAAGTCTTAACCAGGTGTGTTCTTTGAGTTGGGAAGTGACGGGTACATGGGCAGACGGATAGGGAGATGGACAGAAGGGGGTGCATGTATGAACTTGAAAACAAAATCGAGGGACTTAACTACATAGATAGCATTATCCTATCTACTGGTGCATGTGATATCGATAAAAAACTATATTAACTATGTTAATTCCTTCGGCTTTGCCTAAGTGTATTTTCTCTTTCTAAAACTCTGATATACAAATATTAAGTAATGTATACCAAAAAAATAGGTAAATCAGATGCATGAATGAATATTGTCATATATAAGTGAATTAATAATATATAAATAATACAATATTAAAAATAATATTTACACCAGTAATTTTCAAAAACAGTGAATGGTTAATTGTTGAAAATTAACCAGTTAATAAGGTTTGGTTAATTGTTTAGGTTGGCCAAATCTAGTGAATTTGATATATTTTTGTGTTAGTGTAAACTATACGTGTTAAATCTATTGTATCAGATTTTGGTAATTTTCGTTGACATATCAAAATTTACAAATTTGTCCTAAATTATGTTTCATGATAATACAAGCGCTCTAAAATACACCCGGTAAGTTGTATATATACACTAAATGGTGTAAAATACTGTCCTGTGTATATGCACTAAGTTTACGCTAATCTCCATTTCCGTTCTGGACTAAAGTAAAACAAAAAGTGTATACAGTACTTCGAGTGATAGTCAATAAGCCTCAGGGTTAATTTGCCTTTAAAACAAATACCAAACCAAATACATATAGTGTTCTATCTATGTTGTTGAATATGACCGAAAGGGTAAGATTAATAATTCTAACACGAATCTTGTCAATATTTCTTACGTTTTCCTTCACTGTCGAGGGGTAATTGAAAAATTAACTCCCCAAAATTCATTTTTTACATTTTTATTTTTGGTCTGTTCTATGTATATTGAAATTGAAATAAGTTTATTGAGGTAAAATACATACAAAGGGATGAGGTAGCTCAAGCTATTCTCACACCGTTCAGTACATCGTGTTAATACATACATATACACACACATCACAAACAATAAACATATTACCGAACATTCTGAGAGATAAACATCTACATTTCCTTCTATGTATATTAACATCTTTCAAAACAAAGTTGGACCATATGAAGTATTTACGGCCTATTGCCCGGTTACCCCCACAGCTGCAGCAGGGCAGCATGCCCTTGACCAGGTCCACACTGGGCTATGGTGGGTATGACATGTCAGGCTCGTGGGCCGCCGCCACTGACCCCTACAGTCCCTATGGTTCTCAACACGTACGCTCCGCCATCTCCGCAGTCAAAGGTAATTACACTTTTTTTATTCTAATAAAATTATGCCACACAAAGAGTCTTTACTTCGTGTCTGTAATTTACACACATTTGATCAACTATACTCTTGGGTCTAGATTTGGTTTATAGCTAGTTGTGTATTTGATGGTAGGCCTCGTGGAATTAATAATAGCCTTCTAGAGATTGGTAGGCCTCATGCACAATACAAATCTATTTATAAGTTGGATCATATAACACTTTCAAGTAACAATTTTAGAAATTACAGTAGTTCTTATTATATCAGTGACCCTTCCGCTCAGATTATCCAATTTCCTAAACCGAGATTCTCATACTTTAAATACATATATATTGGTACGTATTATACAACTATAATTATACTTAGTGTATTAGCGGAGATTTTAGTTTCTAAATGAGCATAGTAAGTTACTACGTTTTCTTCAAAGTCCAACTAAAAAACATTTTTTCGCATAGCTTTACACAATTATAGCTTGAGAGACCTAAAGTATACTTGCTGACTGGTCAGTAAGCCATTGTGGTGGCCTTAATATCCCTCCAGCGGTTGGCAGGCGTGAACACCAACCCAAATATCACAATAAGAAGTGGAACTGAATATAACATACAAGCCACAAACAGCATTTAGTAATTTAGAAGTGTGATGTTGGTTTATTGATTCCACTAATTATAGGGCGTGACAAACACACCTGTCAAATGCCAGTAGTCATTGGTAGTATTTATGATACATGCCAGTGGCTATTGGTAGTACTTACATGCTATAGGTGGCTATAGGTCGTAGTGGTTACTGGAAATAAAGTTTCAGAGCTTTTTACGTATCCCATTGGCTGTAAACGGTAAAATATATTACATCTAATATATGTCTATGACAAAAGAAAGTACTGTACCTAGAAGATGGGTTCTTCTACTCCCCGTGCCCGACCTGAGGCCAGGCTCAACTTGTGATAACTTGGTCCAACAGGCTGTTGCTTGGAGCGGCCCGCAGGCCCACGCACTAATAAGTACCACTTATTACATATGACATATGCCAGTGACTAGGCAGCAATGCATTAACTGGTAGCCAATGATGTTCGCGTAATCAATTTTTTTTTAGGCTATCTCATATGTTTATGAAGAGTTCCATAATTCGCTAATGTCGCCCCGTTGCATCAAGGGGCGACATTAGCGAATCCAGGTTGCGCAGGAAGGCCCATGATAAGTTACTGCTGGCCAGCTTCACAGAGGAAATTACCCGCTGATAAAATGGAACACCGAGCGAAATGGAAGATAAGGTAGCAACCTGGCGCAGGAGGGAGGCGAGGGTGATGTGTATATTTAGCCTAGAGTGTCCGAGGGAGGCTTCCACGCTCGACAACCACCTCGTTGAGAGATGAGAACTATATTAGTGAGCATTTTAGTCAAGCCTCGCGCATCAGGGACCAAAAAGACTTTTTCAACAGCGTCTTTACACACTAGGCTACGATAGTGATTGAAAGATCTCAACTGCATCTTAACAAAAATTAGGTTATGATAACGATTAAAAACTAACATAAACAGCGTCTTTAAACACTAGGCTTCGATAGCGATTGAAAGATCTATTTTAACAGCGACCTTAAAAACGATACAAAGATTATCAACAGCATCCTTAGATACTGGGCTACGATAGCGAGGGAAAGATCATCATCAACGCTCTTAGAGCTGCAGCTAAGCAACGATGGCAAGTGAAAGCTAAATACGAAGGGTACTCTGATCGAAAGTGTAACAGACGTAATTAATTTATTACAAAACGTTCATTACCAAAACACAACGTTGGCACAGTTCTCCAACAATGTGTTTACATTACCCGGTTGACATATAAACGTCGTTGTATATAACACTAGGTGAGATAGCCCGGTCTCTCTCTGAAAATGTTGTAATACGAAATTGTTCTCATAAACACATTTAAGAATATCTGCATTTATGCAGCTAATCTAAACTATATGAAGGGGAGTACAGCGAGTACCAAGAACTAACTACGTGATGCTAACAATCCCCATCACACAGGATGGTTAGTCATACAGAGTTATGTGATCAGTGGTCTGCACTGGCAAACATTCGATGCATAATGAGATCATCAGACTATGACAGTCATATACCATCCATGTGTCAACATTCTCTTTTGTCGACATAGATAAGAATAAAGGATATTGCAGCCTTCACCACCCCTACCCCCTACCTCAACCCCTACCCCCCTATCCTCCATCCCCTACCCTCATCGTCCACCCCTCCCGTCTTCCTCCTCTCCTACCCTTCTTCCCGGCACACATTTGGTCTCCATTAGGCTTGAGTGCATCTTAAGTGCAGTTTGTGTAGCCAGACGGACGGGGATCCTCAGGTCTAAGTACCCCCTGGGAGCTGCAGTCTCTCTCCTTTCTCGAGCTCCTATGATTAATAATACATCATATTTTGACCGTTGGGGGACTTATACGTCAAAATGCGATGTACTATTCCAATGGACAGGATGTTGGGCAGTCACGAGCTTCATTCACTTCAATTTGATCTGATTCTGTTTGATACATATTATAATGTGGCAGATGTAGCCTCTTCATCTCTTAATTTATCTACCAATATGAAACAACGAACATATTTTAAATTTAGTCTCTTGGTAATAGTTCCCGGGTTTCAACATTCATCCATGTCTCTGTGATTGTAATAGCAATCAATGGTGGGGAGACATGGTGGTGGAATCAGTCGTGGTGGAGAGATATGGTGGTTAGGAGTAATAGTAGTGGCAAGCTATGGTAGCGAGGAATAATGCTGAGAGTAATAGTGATGAGGAGTAATGTTGATGGGGAGTAATTGTAATGGGAAGTAATGACGGTGGGGGGAGTTATTGTAGTGGGGAGTAACTATTCAATTAAGAGAGAGAGAGAGAGAGAGAGAGAGAGAGAGAGAGAGAGAGAGAGAGAGAGAGAGAGAGAGAGAGAGAGAGAGAGAGAGAGAGAGAGAGAGAGAGACAAGGCAAGAAGAGAGATGACTGACGGATCCGGATGTGGATGTGGGATGGGGCATCCCCCCCTCCCCATCATCCACTCCCCACCACCCCACTACCCCCCCCCCCCTCCCCGCACCTCCTCACCGTGACAACAAAGTAACTTATCGCTTGTGCCCACGTGACATAAGCCCCATTATACAATCCCACTGTTGATGTATCTGTTAACACCGAGCTCAGATTTCAGTAAGCACTGTATCTGGTAAGCCACAGTGCATAATTATTTCCCAGCCCAATCTCTCGTCAGTATGCAAAAAGTATATATATATATATATATATATATATATATATATATATATATATATATATATATATATATATATATATATATATATATATATATATATATATATATATATATATATATATATATATAACTGGGGACCATTCAGGCTTGTTCGCATTTGTGTTGCTCATGTGGGCCCCACAAAAAGGAGGTGATTTGATAAAACAACCATGCCCAAGATTACCATCAAAGTGCCGTCGGGGAGGTGGTTCAAATAGCCTCGGCTATCTCCTCTTTTTTATACGGTCACTGATGGTCTAGTGGTTAAGGCCTCCTGTACACCAGTTGCATAGTGCTCCTGGCAGTATGGGTTCGAGTCACTTATGGGGTGTGGAGTTTTCAGTTGAATATATGCCAGGGGACCATTCAGGCTTGTTCGCATATTATATTATATTATATTATATTATATTATATATATATATATATATATATATATATATATATATATATATATATATATATATATATATATATATATATATATATATATATATATATATAACGGGTCGTTATTTAAAGAAGGGTACAGAACTTGCTGACGTTTACAAATTCAGATTCGAATGCTATAGATTACATTATTTAAGGCAGTATTGGCAAAGGTCCGTATTAAATTAGAATTGTCGTTTGTTTTGAACGTAACTTCAGAGATATTATGTTTTGTATAAATTAGAAGTGGTCATGATCGCGATTTTTTTTACTTTATTAATGTAAAATATGTTGTTCTCTTTCGAAACTTGAAATTAGTTCAGTATGCTTGCAGAATCAGCCAATTTTTGTCTTTATACAATTTATCAATAAAGGCTTTAATCGCATAATAACAACGGCTTGTAGAAACCGAAATATAAAACGAGAGAAATATTAGCGTTGAGCTCTACGGATAAGTCAGTAGCAAATGCGATAATAAGGTCAGCCATCAATTAAGAGTTGGTGGGCTATCAGCGCGAGGCTGATACAGCTTCCTGCCCCCGACAAGTCTAGCTTCCAGTACGCCGGCAACCCTCGCGTCGCCTCCACCGCCAATATTAATGACCATTAAAATCGGTGTTGGTTGCGGCATCCTGATTGGTGGCAGGGATCACACTTGTGATGACTGATGTAAGATGAATTAGGAAGAGAATAATGGAACACCTCACAATTAGTTTACAAGAACACATCGTACACAAGACTGTTCGCCAGTCGATTTTGAAACTTATCTAACCTTACCCGACCTAGCCTAACCAATACCAAACTAATCTATCCTAACCCAATACTGCTTAACTAATATATGATAATTTTATATATATATATATAACGGGTCGTTATTTAAAGAAGGGTACAGAACTTGCTGTACTGTGCTGAACTTTTGACCATCAGAAAACGAGCTTTTTGTCGAACAATTATGTGCATGATTTTACGATACTCTACTTCAGACAAGATAGGGAAGGGTGGGCGGACTGTATAATCTTAGATTATCAGAAGGCATTTTACATTATCACAAACAAGAGGTTCGATGACAGGCTTAAGTATAAGGCTGGGGGTAACATTACTAAATTGTGTAGGAAATTACCTAGCAAACATAAAACAAAAGGGTTAAAACCAAAATGGGGGAAGATCATTGTAGTGCCGCAAGGATGAGGAGAATATGGACACACGAACATTAAAGAATAAAGGAAACCGAAGGCCTATTGGGGCCGTGCCTATTTATACCCACTTAAACTCATTCATA